TATGCATTTGAAATAGGTCACCCAACGTATGCTCTGTCTACCACTGGAGCCATTCAGAGACACTAAAACCAAATCCACAGATTTCTGAATAAAACATTGTTATGAGCAACTGACTACATTAGCGCTGAAACTTATTTCATTCCAAGTTTAATCGTGACCCAATTCTGTAGCGGCTGAAAAAAATCAAGATAGGTGGACACATAAGGGCTACTTACTCGGCTATCCTTTCACCAGGAAGCTATTTTAAAATTTGCTTTTTAATTTTTTTTTCTAATTAATTTTTCTTTTCGTCTCGTGGAGGATGTTCAAGAGACATCAGTCGCAGTTGGCTGCGACGATACCCAAATCGCGATAAAGTGTACCGGAGGCTTCGTCTTACCCACTGAGTTCATAGATTAAATTATTTACTGCGCTTTTAAGGAAAAATACTTCAGCCAGTTTCGATTTTGAAATTCAAGGTTTAAAAAGATCTATTTGCCTTTTACCAATCAATAAAGTTCAAAACATGACTATTTGACTTGCGTATTATATTGGGTATATTTTAGAGTTAATTTTTTGCACAAACATTAAAAGCCGAAGTAGGTATGCCTATAATTCTCCTTCTTTATCTACCGTGAACTACGAAGAAGTAAGTTCCGTAAGTTGTATTGATATAAGAAGAGCGCTTTATGCGGAGGTTCCTATTGTGCTTTTAACGAACAGCGCCAACACCCTACCATCAATTTGCCATTGTGCGCATGTATGCGCACTATGGCAAACTATGCGCACATGGTGCGCATTTATGCGCACCATGTGTAATGCCCCTTCAGCTTTTTGCGTATGCAATATGGTCATTTGTAGAGTATGTATAATTGCAGCCAAGGTTAGCGAACCTCATGTTGCAGCCAAGGTTAGGTGGTAGGTTATCAACTACCATATCCAAGCATTTGGCGATTAAGTTACTGACTGAAGACGCAATATTCTCAATCTGCTTTTTTATAATTTTTCTTCAAATCTTTTCTTTAAAGTAACAACGTTTTTGTGCACACTCTTCCACCTTTGAGTATTCATTTTAAAGTCAACCGAAAATTGAAAGAATGATGTACATTAACATCGTAACTTTAAGTACTAATCTTTCTCTTGCATCCTCATACTTTTTTTGTGATGCATGAATGGCCAATCGGAATAAAGACACACGCTAAAATTGAGTTTTTGGTAGGTAGGGACACACTGAAAAAAATGAGTTAGCGTCAGATGACTAAAAATGGTTTCTATACACTGACTCAAATTGTGTGATTTGGACACACATGATTTTTGGTTTCTGTACACTAACCACTATTAGTGCTGGAAACTAATTCCGCTACTCTAATTCGCATTCGGTAGGGTTGGGTCAACCTAACCTCAAAACTGAGAGAGGAGAAAACGGCTTAGCGAATGATAACTGGACAATACTTTCAGGAAAAGAAGATTTCTTAAAATATGAGAGGTAAAAATAAAACTGACCGGTTCCAAATGAACGACAGAGGAAAGGAATATCCCATAGGTACGTGCAAGTAGACAGAATTATCCTTTAGAGAGACACACACTCACACATGAAACGGTAGCGAATGTTCACACTGAATAAACATATCTCGTCCGAACACTTGAGATATTCTTTTGAAATTACGGGAGAACACGAACTATAGAAGTAAGCAGTAAGTTCACAGGTTTTCGTAAAATATAAACTGAACGCGGAACGCTTTAATCGCAATTTAATACAGAAGATTGAAGACTCCAACGAATATCATGCTTGTTTACGTTTTGAATCGAACAGACGATTTCTAACCTTAACAGGTTTATTTATATTGCTTTCGAACGTTTTCAAGAAAGAGAGGACACTATAAATCATACCGGGAGTATTTACATTGTCAAACGAGCCCGAAATTTCACATTTTAATTGATTTTCACGAGCTGACGCGATTGAGGCTGTTGTACCGACGCCACTTTTTTGAAACTAAATAAATGCAACGGACAATGTGGCAGTTAGCGTTGAGGGCGAATTAGTTTGACCCGAAGGTGAATTTGTCTTACCACAGCGCTAATTTTACAGCTAGTGCTGTTTTCCAATTCTGGTTCGCGCTCTAGTAAAGTGAAGTCAGCGTATGAAGCGAATTGATTGGTGCTTCAGTACAATAAATTAGTTCTGAAGCCTAATTTTGATTCTACTTGGCGAGAACTTACCAAATTAGTTCTCAACGCTAACTACTTTTTTTTCAGTGCAATAAAAATCTAATTTTTTTTGTATTTGCACTCACACATTGATAGCCTCAGTAGCTGAGTGTCTCTAAACAATAATAACTATCTAACAGTACCCTGTGATTTTTGCATCTTTATTTGAAATTATGAGGGATAAAAAGCCCTCTGAAACTTTCGGTTGTCTCTAAGAGGGGCACTTATTCATCGATTAAGCACGCTTAATTTACTCTGATTCTGCCTTTTCACTTTCACCGTTCGAACGCTTTTTGAATTAGATAATCGAGAGTTTGACGGCTTTCTCTTACCCCTTAAAATTTGAAGTGAAGACGCAAAAATAATAACGCACACGTCTCTTCCCTAGTCGAGTTGATACACGCCAATAACTCAATTTTGCAAGCTGTGTAGCGAGTGCCCTTTATCAGATTATCCATTCATAAAGGTACGAGTATATTACTATTGAGGTATGAAGATCCGAGAGAAAGATATGTGTTTAAAGCTGCGATGACAAAGCACGGTATATGGTTTAACTGCATTATGGAATGAGGTACAGCTATATCTCTGATTCACCAATCAAAGAAACTATCTGCATAAGGAAGCGCTGATGGCCTGTCCGTTGTTTCTAAAATGCAAGAAATAGTGGGTCCCAATCGCAAAATATAGTGCAGTTAACTCTCCATCAGCATGTCCACAATGGTGGAATATTTTAGTTTCAGCGATTCAACATCTCGTTGGAAGTAGCAACAGTCGCATCTCACTCTCTCGTTGGTGGTTGACCATCGTATTAAGCAGTATGCCCAGCAAGTTTACGAGGCATCGACTCGTTTGCTAAACAGATTGCTCTACATGTTGCTCAACAGCTGACGAACAGGTAGCTATAATGGTTGAGTGCGATCAATCTCTGAAGAATATTTTGTAAAAAGTCATGATGTTGGCTCAGTCCCCTAGAAAATAAAAATGGAGTCGAACAAACACCTGAGATATGCATTTTCCCAATTTCACTATTGATATTGATAGGCGCATCAAGAGGAAAACAGACGTACTTATGGATCGAATTGGCTAACAATTAGCCAGTATTTTGGAAACAAGGAAGTAAGGAGTATTTGGTCTGCTGGCTGTTCAAGTCCCCTCCCGTCTTCCAAGAAAAATGTTTTGCATTCGTAAATTTTAATGTAGATACTATACAGGTTCTTTGTTTATTTACGGGTATATCTGAGACGAAAAGAAGCCTTTGAGGCACAAGTCATCTTTTTTTACGAGTTTTAATAACTTAGGTTCCCCTCCTTGGAGTACAAATTGAGGTGAATCGATTCAATGGAACTGAAGACATAATCGATTACCTCTCAGATTTCTTGTTGGTGAAATCAATGAATGAAAATAACCCACTGTATAGTGATGTTTATGGAGTACTTCCGCGCGACTGAAGAGTAGAAATAAGAGTAGCAGCCAAGAAACGTGGTTGCGGCTCCATTTGTATCAGCTAGTTGTGATCGGAGTACCTCCTGGAGCGCCTCACATCAGGGCATGATGGTTGTACTGTATTGTCCAATACTTAGATCAATCGTCAATAGGGATATATGTAGCGGGTGAATAGACGTTAGGTGTTGCACTGGATGCAGGCCCAAGTTATATCTATCAAGAGTGAAAAACTTAGTTCCAGCTCCATTCGAATCAACTAGTTGTGATCAGAGAACCTTCGCGAGCGCCTCACATCAGGGCACGATGATTGTATTGTATTGTTCAATAAACATATCAATCGCCGATAGAGAAATGTAGCAATGAAAAGAAAAGAGCCCTTTGCATAATGATGCCTTAAGGTGTTCTTTCGAGCAACAAAAGAGTAGAAACAAGAGTGGCAACCAAGAAACTTGGTTCAAGCTCCATCCGTATCAACTAGTGATCGGAGTACCCCTTGGAGCGCCCCACATCAGGACACGATGGTTGTGTTCTATAGTCCAATACACCGATCAATCGGCGATGGATATGTAGTTTAGGGAAAGAATGTAGATTTCACTATGAATAAATGCTAATTTAACTACCCCAGTGGTTGAATTAGCTTTCCACTATAGTAAAATGTACATTTGGAACATGTCGGACGCATTTTTCAACAATTTAACTGTCAAATCAGCAATCCATTTTTCTCGTGGGTTAATAGGATTTAGGTCTTGCATTGGATGCAGGTCCAAGTTATATCTATCGAGCGTGGAACACTTAGTTCCAGCTCCACTCGTATCAACTAGTTGTGATCAGCGGACCTTTCCAAGCGCCTCACATCAGGCACGATGGTTGTATTGTATTGTCCAATACACAGATCAATCGCCAATAGAGATCTGTAGCAGGTGGATAGGCGTTAGGTATTGCATTGAATGCAGGCCCAAGTTATATCTATCAAGAGTGGAACACATAGTTCCAGCTCCATTTGTATCAACTAGTTGTGATCGGAGAACCTCCGAGAGCGCCTCACATCAGGGCACGATTGTATTGTCCAATACACAGATCAATCGCCAATAGAGATTTGTAGCGAGTGAATAGGCGTTAGGTCCTGCATTGAATGCAGTCCCAAGTTTCATCTATCAAGAGTGAAAAACTTTGTTCCAGCTCCATCCGTATCAACTAGTTGTGATCGGAATACCTCTTTAAGCGCCTCGCATCAGGGCACGATGGTTGTATTGCATTGTCCAATACACAGATCAACCACCAATAGAGCGGGTGAATAAGCGTTAGACATTGCATTGGATGCAGTCCCAAGTTCATGTATCAAGAGTGAAAAGGGAGGGAGGGTTCTTTACCTGTTTGCCCTTTTCCCAGGGTCTTTTCCAGGCGATAGGGTCCGACATACTGGTGCGACTCGGCGGGACTCATGTGGTTTTCCTTCTGCATATTCCTCGGGGGGCGGCGGGGCCGACGGGGCCTTTGGGGGCCGGATCACGAGGCCTGGGCCCGGGGACCGGAGGCACTAGACAGCATCGTCACAGCACTGCACTGCACCACCACAACCACCACTCGAGATCGGAGCGACGCGGGAAAGAGAGGCTAGCCGCTGCGATTTGCGGGCGAGGGCCGACTGTGGAAACTCAGCGGCCATTGGGGTATCGCGGGCGATTATTGACTCGCTTTCGGGCGCCCCGAACCCGCTCGGGAAAGCGCCGCCCAGCGCGCATGTCCCCGCGCAAGAGCACCCCGGTCCCTGCCGAGCGCCGAGTGAATGAAAAGTCTCGTCTCCCCCCCTTCCCGTCCCCCCGTGGGCCCTGTCCCTTGGAGGTTTCGGCTTTTCCCGGCTCCTGGCCCCCTTCCCGCCCCCGCCCGGTTCCCACTCGCAGATCGACTTTTCAGGTGTCGTGACACGTGCTCCCCGGAGCTGCCCACCTTCCTGACTGTCCGCTCAATTAAAAACGGAATGTAATGGGAAACGGCGTTGAGCTCCAAGACGCTCCTTCGATTTCCATCGCCACGTCTTGCTCTTCACGCCCACGCAAATTGTCGTCTTCTTCACGAAAGAACGTAACTCCATTGCAATGTTGTAAAATTTCCCCCTCGCAAATCGCATATAATCAAGGGAATTTTGGGCATTTCTAACTGAAAATGTCACTGATTTTTCCTTAGACGCCGTGCAAAAATCAGACGAATTTTTGACAAAATTGCACGGATAAAATTTGGTGAAATGAAGTAAATTGTTTGAGTCAATTTGGCAACCTTTGGATGGAGTTACGTTCTTTCGTGCCGGAGACGACGAAATATCCGCGACTTTTGAGTCGGACGAAAGAGAGGTATTGATACGTGGGTGATGTGTATTGTGTAGGTTACTACTTAACCCTTTGACCCCTGAGTCAGATTTTCACGGAGTGGTCCTCCAGGCTGGGCCAAGAATACGCAATCGTGTATTTTTAGTTTTACAACCGTCATTCGCTTATTTCTCGACCAAATAGCTGGAAATTCTCTGTGCCTAATCTTTAAGTATGTAGGAGTGAAGGTCAATCACCAAAAGTTAATTTCCAATAAAATATTACTTCACTGAAGTTGAATCAATGTTCATTTCTGGGAGCAATTAAGGGAATAATTTTGTCATTGAAGAGAGTTAAATAAAATTAAGATATTTAGATTACTTGGTTTTAGTACCATCGAGTTTAAATGTGAGTGGGCACCTTTTTTTCCGCACCCCTTTGTCAGCTGACTTTCACGATACGGATTGTTCGTAACGGCGCCGTATTGCAACTATTCCTGCTTCACTGATGCCCTGGTTGTATATACAAGAAAAATTAAGGCGCAGTGGCAGTAGAGTAAAGTTCGTTGAACCCTGATTGCACTTTTTATGTAACTAGAAGTAGCAACTTCTTCGTAAAGAATTCTGCTGACCTTGCTAATATCAAGGCTTAATAGATTTTACCAAGATCTGCGTTAAATGTACTAAGTTGATGACGTTACCATGCATGTTACCTGCTTTACATTCTTACCTGGAAGCGTCAATGAGAAAATGAGACATAGTTTCCTGCCAACGGATACTAACACGAGCTCGACAAAATTCTGCGCTTCCAATGATCCTATCATCTCAGATGATTTCGAAGAAATCCCTACTTTTTATACATGTTTCTGCGAACAATCAGCATTAAAGCATCGAAGCCACCGAACTCCCGGGCCTCATCTTGAGTGCTCACGCTGCATTTATCGCGATTGACTCGAGCAAGTGGTGCAACGACCGCCACGTGCCTACCCTTCAAATGCAGAGATGCCGGATTTACGAAGAGTGGTATGCATTTTTAATGGGTCCAAAGTTGTAAGCAATGTCCACTTCATTTCTATAGCATTATTCTGCCGTACTAGGCAAGAACGCCGTAAATTCATTTTCATCAGATTTTCCCTCGTTTTTTTGGAACTTAACACTTTATAAAATAAAAACTGTTTTACCCATGCACCTCAAATTTTCAAAGTTAAAACCTCAAAGTTAAATTCTTGATAGTATTTGCGAAACTATACATACTTAATGTAAAGGTTCTTATATTGCTGGTACAGATATGCAGTTTTTTTTTTAATTTCTTTCTTTTTTTTTCAAAACGCTGAGGATATGATGGTTGATTATCGTGTGATATTTAACGCTGATTCAGTAAATTTCCCCAGTTTCTCCTGTTTACCAACTCATTTTTCCGAAAAATCGGATTTTGTGAACGGTGCCTTTAACCGGGTCCCAAAAATTCGGTTTGTTTGTGGAAAAATTAGTTTTTATGGGTGGTAACAAAAACTAGGGTAATTTTCGGTAACAGGAGTATGCAAAAAGAGGGATGACACCCATTAGGTACATCTAAATAAAACCATTTTCCCGTACTTTCAGATGCAGAACAATGGACCAATTTTTCTTTGAGGTATGTGGGTGGATTCCGTCATTTGGGCGATAAAATGTAGTTATCAGACCCATGCAGTAAAAAGTCTTTGGACATGCCATAGAAGTGAGCCTCTTTATTTTAGGCTGTTGAATCCATAAATGACTTTGATTTGTCTCTGATTACGCACCGATCGCCCGGAAAATAAAAATTTTGAAATTTTGCATTGATTTTAAATTGTAGAAAATTGGATCCAACGAAGCTGTTTCTCAGAGATTTGCTCAAAATACGTTATTATTCATGGGAAAAAATAAATAAAAATAAGATTAAAAATAGTTTAAAAATAAGTTTATATAAAAGATTAAAATATGTATGCTTCTTTTAATCATTGAATTTAGTATCCATTGATTATATTCATAGAATAAATGAAAATGTATTTAAAACGGAGAAAGATAAAATGTTTAAAAATGCGCCGGCATGAGATTTTTTTAACGGCAGATGACACCGTTGAAAGAATTCAAGGCTGATTTATCGCATCCGATGAAAACTTCGAGTTACTTCTCTCGAAACTAGAAGAATTCTAGAGGGAGCACTGGCATTACAAGCTCAAGGGCACTCCAGGTCCCAAGGGACGCGTGTCATTTGTTATTCTGCACCGTTGATGCTGTAAGTGTTGCTGGCTGCTTCGTAAGCGTGTGCAGGCGCTGCGCTTCAGGCAGGCGCGTCGCATCGCCGCTGTGCCGTCTTGTGTTGTGTGCTCGTGACAGCACCTTTGCAGTCCGACAGACGTCCCGACTCCAACCTGAGCCCTCATTTGGAATTCGCTTTGTCTTCTGCCCTCACTCCCGTGCCCTCCTTCATTTTTTACCGTGTTTTTATGATTTATTGAGGCGCCTCCGTCTCTTAAAAGGCTCCGGATAACGAGGAAATTGAAGAACAGCCTCGCGAGGGTTCAAATGAGTGCCGAGACAGTCGACATTACTCTTGCGAGACTTCCCCAAATAAATCAGTTTAGGATTCGAAGCAGTGAGCCTTGAAATCCAAAATGCATAACCTTCGGAAGCCATTGCTAGCCCGGCGAAATGCAAGAAATAATTAAATAAATAATACAAAAAAAAATTAAAAAAAAAAATTATATAGTAAAAGATAGGAGTCGGTTACACCGGCTACAGAATCATTTCCGCTGATCCGATTTGATGAATTAGCAAAGTATCCTCAGATCAGTCCACATGCCGATTTGATAAAGTAGTACGTTCGTGACCCCGATTTGATGAATTAGAAAAGTATCCTCAGATCAGTCCACATGCCGATTTGATAAAGTAGTACGTTCGTGACCAGGACTTACATTGCGGAAAAAGTAGCTTTTGCCGTACGATTCCCTAAGAAAATTTAATTTCCCACTAATTTTGGAGAGTTTTTGAGCTCACATGCTCCCTTCCCATGAAAAAAATGCTTTGCGGAGCAGTTACTGTCAATTGTACCTATTTTTCAAAAGTAATTACTATACTCCTCTTACCACTGGACGCCATGATTTGCGCCTTGCGCCATGACTGCGATTTTTTTATCATCTTTTTTTTCACCACGTAATACAATTTCATGATGGTGTCATGATGGTGTCATGGTGGTGATGGCGATGATAATTTTGTTTTTGTGAAATGGTTTTGCTCCCTCAATTGAATGGAGTTTTCATGGCTGCTCCATTAGCAGTTACGTAAAAAAAAAAAACAAAGCGTTTACATTATAAAAAGTCCCAGTCCCTATCATGATATGCAAGGAGGCTGCAGTGGTTGCGGCAAAAAATAACCATGAATCCACTGTGTGGCTTAGTAGCTTAGTGGTTTTAGTGTGTGAGCTTACTTAGTGGCGATGGGGGTTAAGTTGTTCATCAATCTACGGAAAAAAAGATGTAGAGGTCGCTCGATGATATGGGCATTTCCAATTAATTTTGGTTGTACCCCAATAAAGTAGTTTGCTAGCCCAAATGTTGCGGCACTACCCCAACTTGAGTCCCGGCACTACCACAATTAATTAGTAATCCCCATATCATCCAACAAATTGGGGTATTACCACAATGGACCACTAGACAAGGTACGAATTTCAGCACTCTGATATATGATCTGTGACCAAAATTTCACGTAGAGCACGATGCGCACAATGAAAATTATCGAAATCAACTCCTCACAACGATATTTAATGATTCTTGATGCGTGAATTCAAACCACCCGCTCATGAAAACTCAATGCTCTACGTGATTCACATCGCGCGCTAAACGTTATCATGACAGTCTCTGCGCGATGTAAAAATCTGGCAACCTCAATCTTGACGCTTTGGCTCAGCTATAGCAAATTGCCTATAGTTCGAACAACACATGGTGGGAAATGAATATTGCTCGATTAAGAAACTTGCTGAGACCGTTGTCGTGCGCGATTTGACTCACGTAGAGCTTTGAGTTTCTTGTGAGCGGGCAGTTCAAATTCCTCGTAACCAATGTGAAATGAAAAGGTTAATATCTTCGTTAGGAGTTGGTTTCAGTAATTCTCGTTGCGCGAATCGTGTTCTACGTGAAATTTTGGTTAAGAAACATGTACCGGAATGCTTAAATTTGTACCTTGTCTAGTGATCCATTTTAGAGAAACACCTCTAACAATTTTTTTCCGTGATTCCGTTTGCCAAATGGTGGAAAAATATTATATTTTTTCTCTTGGAAGGGGGGGGGGAGGACATAATAATAATTTATGCGAATTTAAGGAATACGATTATGAAAGCGAGAGGAATCTTGACA